GAGCACGGTGTATTATTTCACAGAGTGGATGTTGGGCAGAGGTAGTGGAGTTGTATATTGCACATTATTTTGACTGGGAGGCATTTATTGTTCTAACAGCAGTAGGAAAAAAGCTGTTTCTCAGTCTGTTGGTCCTGGTTCTGATGGCCCTGTACCGTCTGCCTGATGGCAGTAGCTCAAACAGAAAATGTCCCGGGTGGTAGGAGTCCTTCAGGATGGTGTTGGCTCTCCTGAGGCAGTAAGAGCCATGAAGGTCCTCCAGTGTGGGCAGAGGGCACCCAATGACCTTCTCAGCCATTTTGGTGACCCTCATTTTGGTTGGGTCATTGTTGTAGGAACCACTTCTTCTATGAGATTTATATCAATCTGACGCTCAGTCACTGGACAAAGATGTACAGAGGCTGAAAAGGTGCATACATCTCAAAAATGTAGATATTTTTGAATGGAGGTAGTTTTATGTAAAACTGAAAACTAACCATTTAGATTCACTATCTTTAAAAAAAAACTAAAACAAAAAAAACCCACAGTAGGAGCTCAATGCAACAAAAAGCAGTACATCTGTCATTTCTGAGAATCATATCTCCTTTTTTTGTTTTCTGTAGTTTGTATGTCTGACTTTATTTCTGACGACAGGCTCAGTCCAGCTGGACATGGAGAACACAAAGCTGGTGACGAGATGCTTTATCATTCTTCAGAAAGAACTTCTTCACATGCTCTCTGCTGGTGCTTGTGTTGCTCTTCTCTCCTCTTTAAACAACCTCAGTGGTGTTCTGTTGGATTCAAGTTTTAGTTGCGCTTTTCCCTTTTCACTGTTTGGTTGTGTCAGTGTGCTTTGACTCGTTGTCCTGCTAAAATATTCCTCTTCTGCCGAGCTTCTGCAGAGTCATCTAGTCGGCCAATATTTTGGTATATTCACAGATATTCATGGTGCCATCTATTAATGTCATCTCCCCAACCTTTTGATTTTTTGAATGGAGTTTGGACTTTTCCATTACAACAGCAGCTACAGGAGCCAGCAGGGAAGTGGTGCAGGATAAGTGCTTGTTGTTGACAGTCGGGGAGCAGACAGTCCAGCTCAGATTCAGAGACTCTGACCCCCAAACATCCATCATAATAACATCACTGAAGCGCAGCATCTGCAGAGTGTCAGGCAGGCTGCATGTGAAAGCAGACTACTCACATCATGAGGATTCTCATCAGCAACTTAATGACATCATAGCTCTGCTGCTCCGAGTAGGCTGCCCCTCTGTAGGATGTTTCAGTTAACGTATTTATTTTGTAAATGTATTCGTATAATCCAAACAGTCTCAGAAAAAAAATGCGCGTGTTATCAGCTAAACAGTTAAAATTAAATTATTAAATTAAAATATTGAAAAACTCGTTTTCAGCGACCGCGCTACGTCACTTCCGGGCAGTAGGGAGAGAAAATGACAGCTGGTTTGTTTTCATCAACAAGGAGAATCCAAAGTACACATTGAAGGTATGTAGAACCGACGCCTTCTGCTTTATCGGTCTCTGACACGGTGTTTCAGCGTGTTGCCATCATCCAGTGGTAATTTAAAGTGTATTTCCATCGCTGCCATCTGTAATCCATGTCGGGCTCCATCGAGCTGCTGCTGCTGCTGGGGGTCAGACTCTCTGAGTCTGGACTGTCTGCCGGGAACTGACGGTCAACAGCAGGCATTCATTCAGCACTTCAATGATGTCTCCGTTAGCTCCTGTTATAAAGGAAAATGATGCTGTTATTGTCTGTGTAGTGTTAGCAAAGGTATGTGATGATAAAGCCAAACTCCATTCAAAAATCTGCCAATTTTGAAACGAATGTGTCGTTTCGGCCTATTTATAGCATAACAACACTAATATAACACATTTATCCAATCATTGGGAGTTACACATCAGATCGGCGTGAATCTCATAGTAGAAGTAGCTCCTATAACAATAATTCAACTTTAATTTCTGGTATGCCTCTCGTTGTCAGGAGCATTGTTCACCATATTGATGTTGATGGTAAGGCACGTATAAAAGTTAAAATTCTGGCTGAATATTTAATGCTTTGTCAAGTAGACTTGTGCCGAATTTACATGAACTTCGTCCTCAATCGCGCACATGACCTATTTCACAAACTGTGATGTGTACATTCACGGACGAGCAACGAATAAGAAAAGTGGGAGATTTTTCAAGGGCGTTTGGTAGAGTATGCGCTTCACAAAATAAACGAGCCTAACTCCATTACAAAATCAGTTACTTTATACGAGCTTGTGCCTTATGGGAAAACGTATAATGTTACAGCACAACTTAAGATCTATAAGGAATCACCAAGCGTTACATATCAGATCGGCATACATGCAATAGAGGAAGTAGCACTTATTGCAGTAAAATATCACATTTTATAATCATTTTCACCGACTTCCTTCTATAAAAACAGTCATTCCGTCCTATTCATTACTGCTTTGTCTATAAGGTGCTTGACGAATTAAAGTTAAGTTCGTGCTTGTTTCTTGGTCATATATATTTTTTAAATTGTTAAACGTTTATGTTTACCAAAAATGGAAAAATATAAAATTCTCAGAGTTCTCAGTTGATTTTGGTATAGAAGGCTTCACACTCAACAAAACAAGCCAGAACCTCTTGAGCTTTTTTTCTTCATTATTCAAGTAAACATTACTCAGAGTATATTTAGATCATCTGTATTGATATGTCACTGATAGATAATTATATCTTGTCTGGTTGGAAATTGTACTTGTTCTCCAAAGGAATTCCAGCTGTTTTCGTCTCCTTCTAAGAAATCCAAATGTGCTTCCATGTTTTTTCCCCCCTATGTTTAAATTGGCAAGTGAGTCACAATGCATAAAGTGATCTTTGACCTTGTTTGTTCTCCAGTGTCATGTGGTGAACGCCCTCCATGTCCCTTTTCGGGCCTGTCTAGAGCAAATCCTGCCGGCTGACCAAAGAGGGACCAGCACTTTTTCTGCAGACGCCTGTCAGCCCAACGAGCCACTCTGGAGTAAGACCACACTGATAGCGCTATAGGACCAGTGTTACATCTTCTAAATGGTTTAGTCTTGCATAAAAGTCATAGTATTTCATTTCAGCGCCACCAAAATATGATGAACAAATATGCCTAGCAGTGGATACAAAATGAATCAGGCTTCTCCTGATTTCTCTGACAGGCCACCAGTACAGAAACAGAAGAAGACAGTGAGCAGTGATAGCGGTCAAATCAAAGGAAACGTCTCTTCAGGTAAGGCTATTTCAGCTGCATCCCTTAAACAGTTGAGAAGCAGGTCTGACCGCTCGGTGTGGACTCTGGGTCAGACACATATGTCTGATGTGTGTCTCACGTCTGTGAAAATCACTATGGCGTCACAGCAAATGGCCTGATTTATTAGCTGGAGAGTAACAAATTGCTTTGATACATTACCACAATTTACCGCAGCCCATTTTTGTCAAATAAGATATCGTAACCGGATCCTTTTATTTTTTATTTCAGCAAAACCACTACATAATTTATGCTTCCCTGCAGCAGATTCCACTGCGAGGCTCTGCCCACCATGCACTTTAAAGCAGATGCTCGTCATTTTAATTATAGAAATTTAAGTGATGAGTTAGTTTAAAAGGGGCTTCTTTGCTTTGTGGTTTATTTTTGAAATTTCATCAGAAATATTAGCTTCATTGTTTCTCCTCTCTGGGCAAATAAAGAGATTTTTTAAATGGGACAGCGTCTCTGTGTTGTGCTGATGAAGAGCTGAGCACACCTTTTTGTGTCCTTCCCTCATCCTGTTATCGTTTTTGGACATTTTTAAAAAGAAATGCACACATTTACTGCACCGGACAGCCCTCGTTGATGTAGATGTGCAGTGATTATATTTTGCTCGGAGCATATGTTTCCGCATGTTCATCAACTATAATGAAAGTAAAGCAGTACATAAATTACTGAAATAATGAGATCACTGTCATGTTTTGTCAATTAGCAGCGCATTAGTGCTGGGTGTCAGAACACCTGGGCTTTGAAATAGGTGTTTGCTGTGGGAAGCCTCTGGGCTGCCGTACGCTGCTGGTCGGGGAATCCTGAAATGTTAGGGAACAGGTGTGTGTTGGACAGAAGGAAAGAAAGTCATTGAGCTGTAGGATGTCTGACACAAACAAGCAAATCATTAGACATCAACGACGTTACAGAGCAGTAGTAACGCTCACTGTAAGATGGTTCTGGGTTTGATCCTGGAGTCTTTCTGTGTACAGATTTTATGTTCTTACTTTGCCTGCGTGGGTTTTCTACAGTCTGGAAACATGCATTGGTACAATAGTTGACGCTAATGTGGCTGTAGGTGTGCATGTGTGTCTGTCTCTTTGCGTTAGCCATGTGACCTCTCCAGGGTGCATCCCGCCTCTCGTTCAGCGTCAGCTGGGATGGGCTCCAGCCCCTCCCGTGACCCAGATCAGTGGGTATAGCTGAGGTAATTGGTTCATCAAAAATCTCTTAAAATATACCATCTGTTAACATAAATAGAGCTGAAACAATTAGTAGACAGAACATTTATCAAAACAGTTTTGATAGTTGATTAACTGTCTGATTAAAGGTCAGTTGTCAAACCAGAAATGCCAACTCTTCTTCTGTTGAGACTTCTTATATGTGGGGATCTGCAGCTTTTCTCAGGCGATGTTTTGAAGTTTTGTGTGTTGGAGAAGATGAAAAAGTCACATCGTGAAATATAAACCTTGAGATACATTACTTTCTACTTTCTCTTCTGTCTGTGTATATTTCTGTCAAAAACACACAACAAAAAATGACCTGGTGTGGCACAGTACTGCTCTGTTTTTAACTTTAAAGTGAGTGCAGTCGAGATAAACCTTTTAGCTGCAGTGAACATGGTTAGGTTATATCATGTGGAAACAAAGCATCAAGTGTTGGGGCTCTGTAGAATATAGTACTTTTGTATGAATCACTCTCTTTCTAAAGAAAACCAAGTACCATAAAGTGGAGTAACTCTGAGGTCCAAATTTTCAGTCCAGTCCCTCTGAAAGACATCCAGGGACGACTCACCACCCAGGGTTTGGCTCCATAATTGGGTGAGCAGTTACTTAATAATTCCAGGATGACTTGGTTGCACCAGAGAGGGCAAAAAAATAGCACAAATGGAGAAGGTCAACCGTATCCTGCTCATTTTCTGGTGACAGCAGCTTTCATCCACCTCCTAAGCATCAGCGATGTAACCCAGTCTGGATCAGAACTGCAACAACAACAAGCTGATTAATAGATAAAAGTAGTTATTTTGATAATTCATTGTTTATGTAGAGATGTTCTGGATCCAGCTCCACCACCGGAGGATGTGCAGTGTTTCTCTTTGATCTCTGTAAAGTGAATACTAATAGCAAAACATCCCAGGATGTTACTTTGGACATTTTTCATTTTTTTAAATAAATTGAATGATTTACTGATTATTCAAGAAAATAATTTGTACGCCACTGCTAATTAAAAATGAGTGCAGCACTCGTCTTGGGCCATTTTTGTATTCTGCTGTCATATTTGGCACAGCTCTGTAAAATGTATAAGCTCAGTAGTGCACAGTTAGAGGATGTAACAGTAACAGTGAAACCCTGCTCATGCTGACAGCTAATCTCTGTGGGTGTTTCTTTTCCACACTACCGGCCAGCTGAAGGGGAGGCTGCTCGGCTGGAAGGAGCCATGGAGCCACCAGAGGACAAGGAGGGCCGTACGTTTGTGGAGGTGATCAGTGAAAAGTACAGTCCGGAGAACTTCCCGTACCGCAGAGGGCCCGGTATGGGGGTGGTGGTGGTGCCCACCCAAGGGCCCCAAGGTTCCCCGATGAAAGGTGAGCTGGAGAGGAGTTGTGACTGGCTTTGTTAACTATCATGTAAATATGGACAAAAGCTCCTGCAAAGTAGGCCAAGGCTTGTTACAGTTTGACTGTTTCATATGTGTAGAGAGGGCCGTTAAAGTTTTACTGGCAATACAGTGGTGTAGTTATTACTTGAAAATAAAGCATGACTCCCCTGTGACTGGCCTTGTGATATCAGTAAACCTACAGGCCTAACAATAAAAATGTCATAAACTATAAATTGTGTCTAGTCTGTCTCACTGGATGTAGGCTGTGGTTATAAGCCTACCGCTGGACACTTTTGTCAGCCAGCTTCCTCTTCTCCTTCTGCTATCTGTATGTTAGTGTACACTATCACTGGGAAAGTTTCACGTTTTACTGAGGATTTGGATCATGCATTCAGGCAGAGCTGCTATTTTTTTTCCTGTTGATTAACCATTTTAATCACAGCATGCAAATATTTGGCCAAAACAATTCCACCTCCCGCAGTTTTTGAGGGAACGCTGAAGCTGCAGCCTTTGCTTAGCTCCGCCCACAACGACCGTGATTGGTTTAAAGAAATACAAACGAGCAAGAGCGTTTTGTTTCCCCTTTTGGAGAATGAGATTTCTGTTCTACAGCATGTCGGACACACATACATATTGCTATGAAATGTGGGTGATCTTACATGCAAAGTCTGAAAAAGAGACACTGTAGTGACCCAAAGCTGCTGACAAAGACATCAATCCTGTTTAATGTCAACTTTAGTAGCAGTTTATTCTGAGAACTGACTTATCATGTCGTAGAGGAACGTCTGGTTTTCATCACCTGCATGTTCATTTACTTCCCGTTTCTGTTGGATTAATTCTTCTTTCTGTTCTCTACGTCCTCTCAGACCGTCTGAACCTGCCCAGTGTGCTGGTGTTGAATTGCTGTGGGATCAGCAGGGCAGGAGACCAGGCGGAGATTTCTGCCTTCTGTTCTCATGTCATGGAGCTGGACCTCTCCCACAACAAGCTGCAGGACTGGCATGAGGTGCTGTCTCTGGACTCATTACAGCAGCGTATTTGCTCGTTTTTTGTTTTTATTGACAGCTAATTCCAATGAAAAGATCAAAACCAACAATAAATTTGTTTGTGCCATCAAGTGCCACTGATGTTGTAACAGTGAACCACAGCCGTGCACTGGGTGACATGTTCCACGAACGCACCCTGTACGGTCAGACTCCGTCCCACAGATACTGTCCTCTGCTGGGAACTAGAATAACAACGGTATTAATCCACAGCTTAAAATAGTTCCCAACCAAATCACATTTCCTACTGTTGAGTAATATTTGATAACAAGTACAGCTGTTATGTCCAGCTGTTATGAGAAATGATTGAGCATTAAAAAAAAAAACCACTGGACAAAATTATTTGGCCTTTTCATGCAATTTGCTGACAGTAAGTAAAACAGACTGCTTTATCAAATTAACACGCCAAACAAAGAATGAAAAACTTGTGCAGGCCATCTGTTGTCAGATTCTGATGACCAGCAAACATCTGTGTCCACAAAATAAAATCACTTGTCTAGTTTTCAGTCGATATCCACAGTTGCAAAAAAAAAGAGCTGCAAAAACAACAACTAAAAAACATCATTGTCTCGTTTCAGATCAGTAAAATCGTGTCCAATATCCCCAATCTGGAGTTTCTCAACCTGAGCTCCAACCCCCTGGCGGGCATGACCCTGGAGCCGCGGTGTGCTGAAGCCTTTTCTCGGGTCCGACGTCTCGTCCTCAACAACACTCAAGTGTCTTGGGACACCGTGCTGCTGCTCACTAGAGAGATACCTGAGTAAGAACAACTGCTATGCAAAACCCAGCCTATTTCTCAGTAACACAGACACATGATTGAATACTTCTGATCATAAAGGATCACAAACGTACACAAAAACAAACATTTATAATTACACACAACGCAAAAACTTTTCTCACTGACCTCATTGGTGTCCAGCCACATTTCAGTGTTTTAGTTTTGTTGTTGTTGAAAGATGTCTCCATATGTCAGGGCAACAGCTTCATTAGAAATGCTTCCTTGTTTGTTTGCACTTTATTGGTACTGATAAAAAGTCGTTCCTTTTCCTCCTTTAGCCCACCCAGAACACTTTGAACCAAAGCATAGATAACCGTCTTTACTGAAGAGGGTAAATGTGGGTGTTGCAGCAGCACAAAGACAGAAAACGACCCATTAATTAATAAATAAATAAGTCAAATGTAGTAAGTAAAACACAAGGATAGAAAAACAGATAAAAGAATTACATGGCAAACAATAGACACGCATTGCTACACCTTAAAATGAACTGTATCATTGTGTAAGGATGGTAAACTCTAGTTTCACAAAGCTTTTACAGGTGGAGCTAATGAAGTGAATGTATAATGTATTGTAATATATGATAAGCATAACTGTGTATTCATGTAGTGACAATATAGTAGATAATGTCATATAGCACCACATTTATAGTTCAGTAATACGCGTAGTATAATAACCTAGAATGATGACTGTAGTGAGGAGGACACACTGACAGTGCATTTTAAGTGGAGGACGACGGGGTCTCTAAGCAGTTAATGACCTGCTCTCTATTAAAAAATGTCCCAACGTTATTCTCAGAGGGACCCAGTCGGTCTCTTTATGTTCTACACAGCAGTAAGTTTGTCTTCACCCCGCTCTCTGCTGCGTCTCTGCAGGCTGGAGGAGTTGTTCCTGTGCCTTAATGAGTACAGTAGTGTGCGTGCCTCCAGCGTGGCCTGCCCCACCCTTCGCCTGCTTCACATCACCGACAACAGCCTCCAGGACTGGGCCGAAGTCCGCAAGTTTGGCTCCATGTTCCCCAGCCTGGACACTCTGATTATGGCCAACAACAACTTGGCTTCCATTCAGGACAACAAGGATATCCTGCAAAGGCTCTTCCCCAACTTACGCAGCATCAACCTGCACAACTCAGGTCAGTGGAGCTCAGGGCTGACTTGTTGTGTGTGTGTTGGTTTTAGATGTGTTAAACTATTTAAATTGGGCGTTTAAGTGCCCCGTGATGGTTCCTGGTTTTCAGCATGCTGTTCCAGCATCTGTCCCAAATTATAGTATCCGCATGATAACAGCTGATAAAATTAGCACAAGCAAACATGTCACTGTGTCCTAAAAGCTTTGTGTTATTTGTAGAGTATTACAACAGATTCCTCTCTTCGTCAGCTTTTATCTCAGGAATGGTTTCTATTTGGGGGAGTATCAGTGGTGGGTCTATTTTTAGAGTTCTTTTGAGACTACAGGGGATAAAAAACAATATCCAAAGCAGTCCTCAAACTGACTTCAGAGCTTCCATTTGTCACACCCCTCCATCTGAGGCGCCAAAAAACATCTTGCATCATCTTACCAGCCGTATTGTCTCAGATTCATCCTTCAACTCCTATTTTTCTTATAAAAAAAAAAGAAAAGAATACTTTCCTGCAGACTGACACAATTTCACAGTGCACTTTCTATTGTATCTAGAAGTTGTTTTTAGAAGTGGCAGTGTCTTGAAGCAAGAGGTAATTAGGCAGCAAAGGGTGGAACCTAGAATTAAACTTTCAAACCACTTGTTTTGTGTTGTCAACAGAACCAATTTTTTTCTGTAAAAAAAAAAAAGAAAGAAAGAAAGAAAAAAAGGTGGTTATTTTCCTTGAACAGCAGGTTCTTCTTCTTGTCGCTGCAGGTTTCGCTGCAAAATGAAGCGCATACTACATTCATTTGGGCACTACTTTCAGCAGTGGATTCATACACCTTTGGTGTTCCACTAAGTATTTCCTGCAGCAGTGCCGTGTGTGTGTGGGATTGAGTGTGTGTTCATGGTAATGTGGTGCATTGTAGCTAATTGATGTGTGTTTAATAGATTTTGGACAACAGTGGAGATCTATGGCACAGAGGAACATGATGACTACTCATAAGATGTGTTGAAAATAAAACAAATATAGAAAAATATCCCCAGACTTTTTTTTTAGGCAAAAGCTTACTTTCCCTTGCTCCTGCTCAGACATTGCCAGAAAGGACAGTTTCTGATGTTAAGTCCTGTCTGGGGCAAAGTTAATTATTTAGGATATCTTTCTGTTCCTTGGTCAGTGGGAGTCTCTGAATATGTCTCTGTTGGGTAACCAGCTGAGTTAACTTAAGGCCACTTGGGTTAGCAAAGAGTTCTGGTTAGTGGCATTCATGATGGCTGCGGGCCATCAACTTATTAAGTGTTTTTATTAAAACAGCCTAAGTATGCTGCCTTTTTGTTCATCCGGTTTGTGGTAAATCTAGCAGCAACAACTGTAAGTCCAGCAAACACATATGCTACATGACAACTGTACAGCCTTCAAATCTACATCGATCAGCACAACGTTAAAACTGCCTGCTTCATATTGGGTATGCCACCTTTGTGCTGCCAAAACATGGACATAGTGTGTCTGGGGGTGTTCTGTGGCGTCTGGCACTGAGACATTGGCAGTGGATCCTGTAGGCTGCAGGGTGGTGGTGTCCATGGATCAGGCTTGTTTCAGCACATCCTGCAGATTCTCACATTGGGATTTGGTGACTTTGGAGGTCAGGTCAACACCTTGGGCTGTTTGTTGTGTCCCTGAGCAGAGCAGATTTTACAGTGTGGTAGGACATATTGTCCTGCAGGAGGGAGCTGCTGGTGTTGTGGAGTGCCATGGGGAGGTGTGCTTGGTCTGCAAAAGTGCTTATGTGGGTGGTATCTATCAAAATGACATCCACATAAATGCCATGAGCCAAGGTTTCCAAGCAGAACGTTGTATTGTCACAAACATTATACACATCAGCCGTCAGTGATTTTAATGTAGAAACAAATTAGTTTTACAATTGACTTACTTCACATTGCATCTAAATATACTTAGTTTTCCCAGTTTTCCAAAACAGTCTGGAAAATCAAAACATATTCAGCCTTACAGGTGCATTAAGTTGTCATTTTTAGCCGTGTTGTTTGTGTAGTTCTGGGGTTGGCAGTGTTTGGTCACCTGACAGAGTGAAATATCTTAACAGCTACACACACATTCACGCACCAGTGGCAACAGAGCTGCCATGCAAGCTGCCTGCCTGCCATCATTAGCATCTTTAGGTTCAGTGTCTTTCCCAAGGGCACTTTGACATGTGGAGGCGTGGGATTGAACTGCCAACCCTGCGATTAGTGAACAACCTGAACCCAAGTTACAGCGAGCAGGTCTATAGACTCTTAGTCTTGGTAACTTTTCACAGTAATGCTGAGTTAGATTTACTCAACATACAGTAATGTACATTAGTGTTGTGGTCAAGACCACGTAAATGAGACAAAGTCATGACCAAGACCAGACTGTACCAGTACTGAGACTTATAGTGGCTGAGACTGAGGCAGTTCAGCACCAAAGAAGGGTTTTAAGTCCAATCACAATAATGATGTTAAAAAATAGGTCAGACACAGCCAGCTTACTCACAGCCCTGAAGTTATGGTCTTTACTGATCGTGAAATAAAATTATGTGTCTCCTTTGTCTGAGACAAGACTGAGTAAAAATGTCAAGTATGAGTGCTTCAAAAAAAAAGGTCTCAAGATCAAGACCGATCTTGAGTTCTACAACACTGATATAGAGTAAAGCATTAACATGCACCATGGAGAGAGCTACCAACAAAAATAACACCCTTCGCCTTCTTCCAATACTTGTTCACTGTCTGTGTATCTTTGTCCTCAATGAGTACTCCACTAATTTAGCATCATGTGCTTAAAGCAGTCTGTAAAGAAAGAATGAATTCAATGCAAAAGAGCTAGAGATCTTTTTTTTTTTTTATTCAGTTTGTTGCATCTTCCTTTTTAAAACCTGGTGCCTGCATTACCCACAACACAACTCAAAAGCTCAGATGTAGATTCAGGTGTCTTATGCAAGTGGCTATGTAGCCTCAAGCTGCTAGCCGTAACTAGACTACAGTGGTTCACTTCTTTCTAACTCCACAGTTCAACTCATTTGATGCTGATTCCAAAAGTATCACTTGAGGACATTTATGAGACTTCACAGCTCCCTCAAAAGGGGGATTTGAACAGGAAAAAAGATCAGCATTCAGTGTTTTCTACACATACATTAATGGTCCCCAACACCTCGAAACAGAATACAATGTGTAAAAATGATTTCCATTAACAGTTCAAAACACAACTTGTCTGTGTGTTGCCAGGTCTCAACCAATGGGAAGATATTGAAAAACTGAATTTCTTCCCCAAATTGGAAGAAGTGCGACTGCAGGGCATTCCTTTACTGCAGACCTACACCAACGCAGAGCGACGCAGCCTCATGATAGCACAGTAAGGCCCATCACTGCCATTAGTGAGCAACATGGAGAGCACTGAGGAGAGCTTGAAACTGAATTAGACATGGATCTAAGTGTGTCTTCTAAAGTGTAGAAGTCAGTAATGTGATATATATTCTGATTCATACACTGTCACATATATATCTGCCACTTAACTGCTTAATGTATGTACGCTCCCCCTCAGGCTTCCTTCGATATCAATGCTAAACGGCAGCGTTGTGACTGACAGTGAGAGAGAAGACGCAGAGAGGTTCTTTATCCGTTACTACTTGGACTACCCTGAGGAGGAGCTGCCTTTTAGGTACACTGCACTCCCTCTTCGTACTCTACTTACAATGGTGTGAGTGTTGGTGTCATGTGGAAGTGTGCCTGCTGTAAAAACACACAACCTGCTGTTATCCTCCTCAGATACCATTCCCTGGTAACCAAGTATGGGAAGCTGGAGCCACTCGCCGATATCGACCTCCGACCTCGTTGCCGTGCTCAGGTGGAAGTTCACTGTGAGGAGAAAGTAGAACAGGTCAGTTCAGGCGTTCAAACAAGACACTGTTCAGAAAAGTTCCCAAATACAGAATAACATGTGGAAAGCCTTCAAGTGTTATAACTTTATTTTCTGTTGTTTCCTCTCCAGTCATACTTGACCTTGCAGTTAATTTCACTTTCCTACTTTTAAAAATAGTTACAGTTAGTACAAGAATCACCTGCCATAGATTTTACAGTTAAAGCAGTGTTCCGATGGTATGTTTGTTGGTATCAGCACCTCTAAATTACTCATGGTTGCACCAACAGATAAAGCTGTCCTGCTGTACCTTCATATATGTACTTTTGAAGGCTGTAAATAATTCTAGCAGTTTTTTTTTTAGTTATGTTCTGCACTGCCAGTTGCAATAGTACTCCAACCTCCAGGAAACCCTTCATTGTGAAAGATAGTTCAATAAAACATGCTGTGGAAATCCCCATGCTGTTACTATTTCATAACAGCAATCAATGATTAATATGAAAGCAAGGCATTGCTGTTTGGTGGCACATTTATTGGATTCAAGTTTAGTTAACACACCAATGGGTTTGATCAGTGCTGTGCTTCCAAACAAAAGTTGAAAAAATACATTCTACTACAGATCCCAGATTTTCCAAAGACACCAACTATGTCACGCCGAATGTTTGTTCAGAATTTGTATAAAGGATATGCATGACATTAGGAATATTTCTTGAATTTCTTTCATTCCTGATGGAGAAAGTGGGTGATCATGTGTACAAATATAAATCCGTCATGAGACAAGCAAAAGGTGGAGCTCAATAAAACACTTGTCTTTTAGTATTGTTCTCAGTGCAAACACCAAATGGATTTAACGAAAAGTGGCAACAAACCGATATGTCAGACAGGAAGATTTTTACCAACTTAAAGAATATGAAGTGTACGTTAAAGGATTAGCTGGCTTATAGTGACAGTCGATCAGCCCCTTAAAGGTGCTCCAATCACTAGAAAAAGGAATTGAACTGGACAACATGCTTGGAAAAACAAAGAGTAAAAGGAGAAGAGGGAGGCAAAGAATCAGATGGACAGAAGGCGTGACCAAAGAAACAGTCCCTAACAGAGCTATGTGAAGTTACAAGACAGAAAAGGCTGGACAAAGTATGTCCACCATGGGGTCACCATGAGTCGGAAACGACTGGACGACACCTAACAAGTAGGAAAAATACATCACTTGAATAAATGTCCATGTGTAAACTGTAGTACTGAGTAAACATACAGTATGTAGGAGCGGCTGATTTGAACAACACAGCAGAAAACAACACCGCTTTATGGCAATTATGGCTGAAAAAAATGTGCTATTTATTGTTATTATTATTATCATTACTGTCATTATTATTGGATTTCTGGAAATCATCTCATCCCAATCTTGATCATCAGAAGGTTCCAATGGCCACTTTGAGAAACACTGGTTTAAACAATTGGTTTTACAACTAAAGCTATGCACATTTAGATCAGTGTGTGACTGTTTGTCTTTGTGTCAGCTGAACATCCGTTTGGACCAGACGGTAGCTGAACTGAAGAAGCAGCTGACAACGGTGGTCCAGCTGTCTACAAACAGCATGAGGCTCTACTACATCGACAAGGGCAGCGCCTTCGGCCCGGAGGAGATGAAGTACAACACCCGGGCCCTCCACTCCTACAGCATCCAAGACGGTGATGAAATACTGGTGGTGCCCAAGACCAAGTGAACAGCGAGTATCCAGCTGGCTGATGAGAGTGAATTGATTAACTGGATTATTTGTTGATTGGTTTACTGACATTGCAGAATAATTGGAAAAACACATACGGAACAGCAGCAGCAGCACCCCACTTTTTGGAATGGAGAGAGAGGAAAACAGTAAAAGATGAAAGAGATGTGAGCACCATCATGGAGACTGGAAAGTGGGCTGCTGGGAAACTCTGGCTGGAAATGCAGCCTGGAGAGAATTTTGTCTTTGTTTATTTCAGCTTTATTTGAGGGAAACCACTGAAGTTAGTGGGCAAATCTGTCACACTGGAGAACAGGCTGAGAGAGCAACTCGCAGTCAGCTAGCAGCTTTAGCGGAGGGGAGGGCGCTGCTGTACCAGCAAAGCTTCGCTGCAGCTCTATCTCTTAGCACACGGCATGTACCATAGCACCTGCATAGGCAAGTAAACAACATCACTCGCTTGCCCACGTCTCGCAAAAGCTACCCTGATTAGTAGTGAGGCAGTGCTGCCGAGTGGAGAGGGACTGCTGCTCTCATCTGCACTTTTACCTTAGGCACAATATCAGGAAGAGCCGTGGTTGTTAGAGGAGCACTCTTGCCTAAAACACTGTTAAATGCAGAGTTGGTGATGAAACTTGCATTTTTTTTTTCTTTTTGTGGGTCCATTTTGTTGTTCGGTGGTGTTAATCCCATATTTCTGTGGCTACTTGCCAAACTTAGAGGATGTTGCATCACATTCATATAGAACGAAGGATTCTTTCGGAGCCATAATGAGAGTAAAAAAATCAGTGTGAAACATAAAGAATAAGCATAATTGAAATCCTCTCCAGACATGTTAAAGCTTTCAGTGACCACTCGTGTGATATAGGTTTTCCACAAAAAAAATCTTGAAATGACACGTGCTCCTTCTCTCTTATTGAAAAATCCAAAATGTATGAATATGCAAGTATTATTCATTTTCATCTGAACATAAGATGTCAACTTTCCACATCCCACTTGCACAAGTGGACCATGACTGGCTTCCACACCAGTCATAAATCATCGCTCGTACACACACGTTAAACTGAGACTCACGGTGAGCACAGAAATGCTTCCTCCTCAGCAGATGAATGTGAAAATGCTTCTCTACTGTCAAATTCTGTGCAGTGAAGCATCCAGGTGAAGTCATTTTGAGTGGAGGGAGACTTTAAATGCAAAGAAAATGACATGAAGCAGGTTAAAGGGAAAATTGGTTGTAGAAAAAGCAAAATGATGCCACTTCATGACAAAATGGCTACAGCAGCGACATGCTCACACACTGATGATCCCTAACAGATTAAAGACTCTTTATGGGTCCGTGTTTCCGTTCTCAGCAGCTATCAGTATTTCTTATCACATGTATACGCCCACACATGTTAACACAAAGCAGCTGTCCTGTCGTGTTATGTGCCGCCACCTACAGGCTTCATTGTGTCTTTGATTGTAAAAGCGAAGTGCTCTGCCACTGCAGGTGCCTCACGAGATGAGATTCTTTGTGAGGAGAGCAGTGACGCCAACACACACAGCAGGGTACCTAGAAGACAATCTCATAGTGAACATTTTGCATAAGAGTGACGACATTCGTGATTATATTTGGACCGTCTTATTTCAGTTTAGACACTCTGGGGTGAACTTTTTCATAAAAATATGGTAGCAGCGTGGTTTTAGCAGTTCCCCTGTTTTTGAGCACATGGCGTGGTAATAATTCTCATATTATTATCATGCATTTAAGAACATTCCTTTTTAGCTTTTTTTTCTCACAGAAGTCATCATTGCATAATGTCTTCAATTACGTCTTTTATGGACCTTTAAATGCTTAATCAGTGTACTTTCTTTACAGCTTCTTTACTCTTGTTGAAGCATATAATCAGTAATCATCCCTGAACAGATGCTGATCTCAGTTAAGTGCATTTATATGATCTGCACACTAAAACTATTCCCTCATGTCGTCTGCCACATGTTACTATATTATACATTTCCGTCCATCCTGCACAGAGATAGTTTCACCAAAGATAGCTCATTATGTTGGTATTATTATTATAATGTGGAATATATGCCGCAAGTATTGATTTTGATATACAGCATCCATCTTGTATAAGAGGAGCATTGATGTTAGATGTCTGGTGCTATTGATTTTTCATATAGCAAGCGACTCAGAGGAGTAGGAGATTCCTGACACAGTGTTACTGCTATGGAAACAGTCCAGTCACACAATTAAGTATTACCATCTAGTGGCTGTTTGGAAACAAATGTGTGTTTGGGCTGTAGCTCCAGGTCATCCGCTGTCAAAAGTAAACTCAGCTCATCGTTCATGAGCCTCTTTTTACCCTCCAAAAGTATCAGTATCTCAAGTATGTAAATACCACAGCTTTTCCCTCTTAGCTATATTTTACCAGTGTTGATTTTATAACACTACTGCTATACTTGAATAAGACTACATATGAAGGTATATACAGCAGGTTAAATGAAAACAGTTACAGTACTGAAGCCCTTACTACCCATTTTATCACAGTAGTGCTGAATAAATGTTAGTGTAGCATGAACCACAGCCATAGAAACCAGCACACAAAGAGGCAGCAGTGCAGTGCTGGCACCAACATCCCAGTCTGGACTGAAGTACTGAGCTGAAGTGTCTGTGCTAATCGATGTGAGACTTGTTAGGAGTGAGAACATGTAGTATGTAATTGTTTGCAGAGTGAGTGATTTAATGGTATGCATGTTATTTATCATGTGTTTTCGAAGAAAGTGGTCACTATGCCTGCTTAGATTTATGGGACGATGCACTTGATGGAACTTTTTGAAATGTTTTACTTTAAGTGCGAGGAAATATTTGAAGTCTTGATGTAACTTTATTGTTGAATTAATTGATTTTATTTATTTATTTTTTTTAATTTCGATGTTATTTATTGTGAATCCTGCTTACTTTTCAAACTGCTATAATCTGAAAATACTGGCTAAACCATTTTACAGCCCTTAAAGCCCCTGAAAATGTAATCACAGATTTTAAGTATTTCTCTGTAACATCAACAAAGATTCACAACTAATAAATTAAAAAAAAGTTGAAGTCAGGAAAAGAACATTCTTATTTTTTATTTATTAAGGATGTGACAGTCAAAAACTGACAAATCTGCTTTTGGGGAATGTGTGGGAGTCCTTCTTAACAAATGTGATTGACAGTGGACTGGCAACATAAACAAACAAACCCAACACGCTTTTTGATTTCAATTCTGATTGGTCCAAATCTGCTTTTTCCAACTCAGGCCCACCCACTAGCGAGAAGACACAAAACAGAAATAGTTCTAATTTTGGCAGAAAACGTGTTCATGTGGGACGCACTCTTTATAGTCAGAAGCTGATTGTCAAAACAGCTTTTCAGGGCCTTTAAGGGAAAAGTCTACGTTAACCTCCTTGAACCTTTGTTGATCGTTTGTTTTTGCATTACTCTGAATGACTGGACTGTTAACACTAAACATCAGGTTGTGGTATCAGTCCCGCAGAATCCTACTGTGAGAGTTTGTAGAATCGCCTTTTATTCACCATCCAACAGTTTCCCAGGGAGACATACATAACACACACAATAAATCCACCAGCAGTAGCCTCAATAGACCAGAATGCAGTACAGCCACAAGACCGGATGGTTTGAGTAAGAAGTGACTCTCGTTTTGTGTTCATTTCTGAACTCTTGCTGCCCTTTTTATCATTCTGTTTTCTGCATACTCATACATAACCCAGAGATGAATATTACATGTAAAGGAATACTTGGAAAATGTACTCATCTGAATTCTGCTGAGAATTAGGTGAAACGATTGGTACCGTAGGTGTCTGTATGCTAAACATAAAGCTTTACCCAGAGGAGAGTTAGGTTACCTTTACGTAGAGACTGGAAACATCTGGACCTGCTGTGTCTAGAAGTTAAAAAGATGCCTGATAGCACCTCTAAATTTAAAGAAATCATTTGTTATACTTTGTTTGAGTAATCTGCACAAATAATAAAGCATAAATATAAGAAGTTGCGGTTTACTGTTCAACAACAACCCCTCAGTTGCCTCTCTGAATTAGACTGGTACACAACTCGCTGTACAACTACAACTTCACACTGTTGTGTACTGTATATTTTGCTACTTCTGGATGGAGCCATGCTAGCTATTTGCCATTGGTTTTTTTGTGCTAAGCTAACCAGCTGCTTCTGTTAGCGTCACCTTAAACATACAAACATAAGAGTCGTATCCATATTCTCACCCAACTGTGCAGGAAAGTTAATACATGTAGATCCAAAATCTTAGGCCATGAGATCAAGGGAGTTCTTGGAGGGTGTCAATATGTAAAACCCCTGATGGAACACCTCCTGAGGAGGAACTGAGGGTGGATTTTTCCTTTAAATTCAATCACATATAACCCACTCACTCCATTGATTCTTCTAAACATTTGATTTGTATTGTAAGAAGCAACTGAGCAAACTGAAGTTAAAACACTGCACAAATGTGATGAACTGATGTCATGTCTTTTTTTTTTTTTCAAAACAAACCCAACTCTGTTAAATTAGGCCTTGCCTGCTGAAATGGAGATAATTGATGCATTGAATAGCTCTATATTTCCTTTGCTTAGTTAAATACTCAACACATAATGCTAGACATCTGGCAGCTTTAGTACAGCACATCCTGTTTGAATGGAAACCTGTGAAAACTAAATGGATACTTGCTACTCTGGATACATCAGTAAATACACTGCTTGAGTCATCATCTGCCTCTAAAAGTAGTGCACCAGAGCTCACATGGATCTCAGAAGGCTATATTTGTCTTTGATTATAGTGTTATAGATTTTAGTTGGATTAAATGTGCAGGATGTCCAGGTTTCATCCCTGCTCAGTCTTATACACCAGTACTTAAGCTAATCAATTCACTCCACTCTATGTAACACACCACTGTTCATAATCTATGGCATTTAAAGCATAGTCATGTTTTTTTGTAGGAACCTATATAAAGTTTTAAGTGGATCAGAATGAGTCATCTTTCTTGTAACAGTATATGCAGAGAAAGATGCGTCACTTAAGGGTAATAAATGGCAGTCTCCCTCCTCAATGTGTGGCACTTTGTTTCATTCAAGGCAGCAGCTTTGGAAGAATGTCAGAGGTTTTAGATGTGCTTCATTGTACAGATGGTTATACTGCATTATGACTTTATGAGTCATTCACGCAGTTGCTCGCACACTTCAGCATGAATAACTGCTTGAGTGCTGGAACCTGGAATATTTCTAAAAACGTTCTTAGACACCATCTATTAGAAAATATTCAATATTCAACCCAGTTAACCACAGACACTATAAAATACTGGAAAAATACTGTATATTCTTCAATACGGTGGAATATTGTAGGAGAACTGAAAGCCAACAATGAACACAGTTGTAACTATTTGTGAAATTAAGCTAATATGGCAAAATATTTTAAAATGCTTATTTCTTTAAAAACATTTTTCTTTTATTGTTCTTCACATTCATTTTGTTAAAATCTTATTTTTATTAATGTAATCTAAGAATGAATCTGTGTAAAAGAGCACCAATGTAGGCTGTATAAAGCAAATGTACTGACATTTTAATGGCAACAAAAGAGAATGGGGTATTTATATTTGTTTGTGTTTGCTAAATTTATATAGCTTTAATTAAAATTACTATTGATCCTCTGCTTCTGTTAAAAAAAATAAATTAAAAAAAAATCCAATGTTTTTCACAAAAGTGGAAAAAGACCACAATTTCATTCACATAAAAAAATGGAAAGAACACATACTTATGAACAGTATGTACAAAGCTGTTCATGCTAATAACAATAGCAATAATAGCAATAATAATAATAATAAGAAAATTATTTTAAAAAAATAGGAAAGTAATACATAGTCAGAAAAAAATAGTGTATAGTAAAATTGGTTGAAAACAAACAGTTTTAATTGTCTTCTTGTTTACAATTTTATATGCATTTTTACATAACATCTATTTGCTGACAGTTGCATTCACTAACCATTTAAAGCGTATGGTTAAAAAAACACCTTATGCTACATGCGTGTATGGTTTACTCAAATTCGTTTGTAGGCTTTGAAATTTGACTCTTTTTTTAAAAAAAAATTTCAGTAGCATCCTCCACTGGACAGCTTATCTGAATACTATTCCTGGTGATTCTTAGACATCCCACCACAAAGCTTTAGCGAAAATGAATGACTAGATAAAAGTCGTCAGCTGTCCTACATACCTGAACGTCGCATTTTTTCAATGAAAGAAATCTGTGGTGTTTACGTTCGTCCCCATGGCGACGGTGTAGGAGGCGGTTCACAGCTCTGGCCGCTGACGTTCGCGGACAGGAATGGACCAATCAGAGACGAGCTCCGTTGCCGGACTGACGTCACCGTTAAAGCGAAAAGAACCGTTACTTGGTTGCCGAAACTCTACAACTGCAAAGGGACAGAAGATATGGCTGAATAGCAGCGTAGTCTGGATTAAAACACCCGGAGGGGAATCTTCGGTGCAAACATCAGTGTTCATCCTGCTTGGCGTTTTAGGTAGTGGTCTAAAAAGCAGCACAAACCGGCCAGCAGGGCACTTTTTTGGGGGGGGCGTTTCGCTGCCCGTTCGGATCGGGATGATCACCAACTGTGGGGTGAGTGAATGCAGTTACCTTACACCACCATAGCCCATATAGGTGCTGTTCTTTGATACGGACACAAACCAAACTCCTGCCAAACTCTGACAACGTTAAGTTTTGTTGTTGACTAGGACTAAATTATACTTTCCCTCAGTCTTTTGATCAAATGTTAGAAATCTGAATGTGCCACTAGAACATTCGGCATCAAACGTGACCGCAAAAAACGTATTTTATTTTAGTTTAATTTCAAGTTTTAAATCGGGCACATTTTCTTCTCTAGCGTATGCCGGACGAAGAAATAACAGCTAAACCAACTCTGGAAGTTCTGTTAGCGTCGAAATGCGTTTTTTTGCTTATTCTGTTAGATCTAGCTATGTCTAATGGGTTAAATGCCCCCCAGTGAGTTTAAAGGTGTGATGTTATTACCCGTGAAATGTGTGTGGTTGGTCCACAAGCAGAGCCGCATTTTGCTTACACAGGAGTTTGGTGCGGTGACACACTGGCTAACAGCGCTGCTGTCTTGGCCACACCGACACTGTTTACTGGCGTTAGCTAGCGAGATAGCTAGTTAACAAACCGATGTTCACCGAGGTTACACAGACAAAATAATTATCCAGGTTAGTTAATAGTCGTTTTTTTATTAACTTCATGCGTCTCTTCCTCAGTCCAAGGGACTTGAGGGACGGTAAGTTTTCGCTGTTTCAGCCCCTTCTCCGCCCCCCTCACGGACAGCGCATAGCAAGCCTGCCCCGCTTCCATTACCAAGCAACGCTCCTGACTGGCTCTCAGTGGTTATCTAATCACGCGTGGAATAATATCATCTTCATACTGCGTTTGCATGATGTGAAATGTGTTTGCATCAAAGCAGCCAGCTCTTTGGCACACTGGCACGGCTACACCGCAGTGCATCGAGTATGGCTTCTGTACCAGTGTCGTCCCATCTCCTCTCAGTGTCATGTAACGCTATACCCCTCACAGAGAGCGTCCACCACACGGCTACGTCTGTCTTTTTCCATTGTCTTGCACACATACGTCAATTGTGTGCCTGTGCTAGAAAACGCCCGACTTCATTTGGTAATTTACTGCTAATACATGTTTTTCACAAAGTCAGCATTGTGACTGCATCTTATACATGTGTTACCAGAATAAGTGAAGAATAGAAGAATCTCGCTTTAATATGGTAGAAATGAACATTACATGTAGCAGATTAAGCCTCATATAGCTGGAATATATTTAGTACAGTCAGTATTAAAAATAATGATAAATCTCACTTTGAAATGCTGCATTTCAGAGTGAACACTTTGAATAAAGGCTGAGGTTTATATAATATCTGTGCCATTTGCTACACAGTGATACTATTGCTGAGGAGCTTGGACATTCCTCTGGAGGAGTCATGATCCAGTGAAGCTTGTTCCTGACTTCAGACTTTAATTTCTGGCAAAGCGGCCAATCTGCTGGCTACAGCAGTGCGGTGGGCTTGATGCTTACCCAGCTTGGCTTATAAAAAGCCCTAATGCTAGTCCTTTAAGAGCAAATTGGAATGCCAGTGAGTGTTGAGTGACCTGTAGAGGTCATAGGCGTCTGCTATATTTACCGGCTCTGTAACTTGATCTGTGGCATTCTGGATCGCTGTGCTCATACTATCCTCTCGCACTCTGGGGCCACAGCGTCCCAAGTAGCACCCCATTGCTTTCTGTCTGTTGGCCTGGCCGCTCAGAACAACAAGGGTGAGCCTCTTAAAAAACCAACTTAACCCACCACTCTTCCTCCCTTTTCTTCTTTTAGGTACCTGCTTGCCAGTTGAATGAATACGGGCTGTTTGCTCAGCTGTAGGTCACGTCTTCCCATGGAGACCAGGATAGAGGATAGGGGATAACGTTTCAGAACATTCTGGATGTTTTTAGCATGAGTAGAAGAACAGCTTTAAAGGGTAGTGCATACACTCAAAGTTTTCATTTGACAGTGAAAATACAGTATATACAGTATGGTGGGTAGTACAACAGCTACCTGAGCTTTATATTTGAGCAGCTTTTCTGGATTTGATAATACGGTCTGAAGGACGCACCATCAGTGTTTAATGACCGGACATGAAATCCAGAGAATGCGTTGAGTGATGGCCTGTACATTCACCTCATGCAGAACATGTGTGCTGTAAAGTGAAACAGTTTGATGCGAGAGACGACACAAAAGAGATCAAGAAGAAGTTTATTTCTGCTGTCTTTGTTAGTGTAGAGTCTTACAGGTACTATGATGATTGTTTCATGCTGCATTTGCTGTCTTCAGGCACAGATTTTCTCACAGAGTTGTGTGACACACATGTACTTGCCTGTTTCACATCCCAAACACATTTCATCAGTCAGCAGAAAATGATATCTATTTTT